AATATATTAAAATTCGTTGGTATTATTTCTTAAAAATCTTTTTAAAGAATTATATTTTACCAATAAATAAGACAAACAGGAGTAATTTTTGATCATTGCTCTTAGCCAATCAAAATCAAGGATCTCTTGCACATTTATAATTTTGAGTCGAATTAACCAGTGTTTTGGGCGAAATTATTTTCCAAATCTGAAATATTTTGCTCAGAGGAATTTTAGTTTCATCCTATAAGTCCTAAATCCTCCAAAACTAGTTTTGCCCAATTTTATCTGCAACTAACAAACTGCCATTACTTTGCTAGCCATAGTGATGGTCACTACATGTGATGCGTGGGATTCAAAAAAATCATGTGTGGAATATTCGGGCAGCGACATAATCTTGAGACATAATCTAGCCGAGTTACGAAATATTCTGAGTCGTGGTAAAATTATGACACATTTCCGAAAAACCAACCACCTTGTTCGCATTTGGTTAAGAGTTTTGCTAGCTTTGTGCCTAGTGCTTGAAATCACAGATTATCCATCAGATACTAAATTCTTGTATATTGGATCTCATCAACAAGTGAGTCTATTTGACAATTTTAAGCAAAATTTAACAATTCTGACCTGATGTAACTAAGTCACGAACTTTATTTTCAAAAAATAACTAACAAAACAAATTTTCTCATTCGACAAAAAAATCTAAAATTGTAAAATTAATCAATAAACAGTTACGCTATCATTTTCAGAATCTAAATCTATATCTAAATTGCCACTTATTAATATTTCAACTAACTTTTTCTTTATTTCGGGATTAAATCCATTACCATCAACTTTCAGAATTTTTAGAGTTGTGTTCATTTGAAGTGCATTTGCAAATTCTTCATTTCCAAGGGGATTATATAAAAGATCTAATGAAGTCAAAGCACTATTTTTGTGAATAGCAGATGCTAATACTTTATCACCTTCAATCCCAATTTGATTCAGGTAAATGTCTAAAGTAGTTAATGTATTGTTTTTGCAAAAAGCATTTGCCAGCTCTATTCCTACATCAGAGTCAAGCTGATTAGATGAAAGATCCAAATAAGTTAAAGTGTTGTTTGCGATAAGAGCATTTGCTATTACTTTCCCTCCAGAACCAAGATTAATATTTGCAAGATATAAATAAGTTAAAGCATTATTGTTGCAAAGAGTATCTGCTAGTAATTTTCCAATATCACATCCAAATTGATTATTAGAAAAGAGTAAAGTAGTTAACATATTGTTTTTGCAGAGAGCATTTACTAATGCCATTTCTCCCAAAGTATCAAGGTTATTGTTTGAAAGATCCAAAGAAGTTAAAGTGTAATTTTTAAGAAGAGCACCTGCTAATGCTTCCTCGCCCTCAGACCCTAGTTGGTTAAGGTAAAGATCTAAAGTAGCTAACTTATTGTTTTTGCAGAGAGCATTAGCTAAAACGTCTCTTATATTGGAGCCAAACTGATTATTTGAAAGATTCAAATAAATTAAACTGTTGTTTTTGATAAAAGCGTTTGCCAACGCAATTCCTCCCGAAGTATTAAGGTTATTGTTTGAAAAATCCAAAGAAGTTAAAGTATAATTTTTAAGAAAAGCACTTACTAATGATTCCCCACTCTCAGACCCCAGTCGGTTAAGGTAAAGATCTAAAGTAGCTAACTTATTATTTTTACAGAGAGCATTAGCTAAAACGTCTTCTACATCGAAGCCAAATTGATTATTTGAAAAATTCAAATAAATTAAACTGTTGTTTTTGATAAGAGCATTTGCTATTTCTTTTCCTCCAAGTGAACCAAGGGTATAATTTGAAAGAATTAAAGTTTTAAGTTTTTTACTTTTTCATAGAAACATTGAAATCAAAAAACGTTTAACAGCTGCTACGGGATAACTACTTTTCCTGATCTTTTCAAATTTTAATATTTCTCTGCTCAAATATCAACTGTTAATAGAAGTAATAAAGCTTGTATATTCAAATAGTGTTATCAGAGAATTTGTTGGAAAGTTAATTTTAAACGGGATTAACTGTGCTTTTTCATCGGCATTCAGTTCTAGAAGACATATTTCGATGACACATCTATTTTTAAAACAGGAAGATCTCTATAATATTGGAATAATATGTCTACACCATTTATGGTTTACAAAGAGGCATGAAAATAAGATCTTATTCTTTAGATATTTAAATATTTCTACGAGGGTTTCATTCGGTAAGTGTGTAATAGAACATATTTTTTGTAAAAAAAAAAATTTAAAGGATTCTTTTCAACAAAATAAGTCTGGTTTTACCTAGTTTTACGCGTATATAATTTTTTTTTTTGAAATATACACTTGTAATTTTATTTAATATTGATATAATATAACATGCCTATTACTATATGCAGTAAACTTGTATTTAACCGGTTTTCAATAGAACGGAAAAATTATATTAATTTATTTTTTACACAATATTGATATATGAAGTTTAATGTATATTCACAATAAAGCTGATAACCAGTTAGGTTATTCTATATTATTCGTTATTATGTGTCACATAAATGATTTGGTTTATATGATAATCTCCGATTAAAAATTTGAACAAAACTAAAATGTCTTCAGAGTTGGATGAACTCGAAAAAGCGAATAGAATGGTAAAAAATTGTAATACTTTTTTGTAAGGTTATTTGATATTTTTATCATATATATTAATGATGTATCAACAAATATATCTTATGGCCAATAATTATACTAAATATAATCTGATGATGAATATTTTATTTTTGCGAGATGAAACCGAAAATTAACGATTGGCGAATTTAATTTTGTGAGGTGAAATCGAAAGATTAGAAGTTGAAAATCAACGATTAAAAAAAAATAAACATTGGTAAAAGTTTACATTTCTATTTAAATATTATTAATTAAGAAACACTTTTTAATCTTTAATAAATTTTGTAGTTATAAATTCAATCTTCACATATTTGCATTTTTTATCATCACAATATTTATTAGTCTTTTACTTGAGTTTTATATTTTGGATTTTTTACATTTGTTATTAGTATCAAATTTGTAGTTAAAAATAAATAATCTTGATATTTTTATAAAAAAAAAAAAAAAATTATATACAACTAATTTAGATTTACTAATTATGTATAAGTTCTAGTACATCGCGACTAGAGTTACGAAATTTGTCTTCATTCACAAAATACTTTATTTTGACAAAATCTAAATTATTAATATTGTAAAATTGATATAACGATAACAACTAATTGAAGAGGATAAATAAATTTTCATTCATTTACAGTACAGTACATCTAAAAATTGAAAAATCGTATCATGCTCACGTGAGAGAAGCAGTCAATTTACGTGAGAGAAGACAATTCATGTTCACGTGAGAGAAGCAGCAATGCTTTTCCCGCATTAGAGATTCAAACTCAGAACTAGTTTTAACATTACAATTTAGTTTACTGTTCATATCTTTATTATGCATCATTTCAAGACCACTATACGAAAGATCTAAAGAAGTTAAACTTATTTTTATAAGTGCATATGCTAATCTTTTCCACCATCAAATCCAAAGTCAATTACCGAAAAAGCTTTACTTGTAATAATTTTATTAAAATGTAAAAAAAATCAAATCATAAAAAAAAACTTTACACTCATCTACTTTACTTTCTTTAGCATTTTTATTATTATTAAAAGTATATACAAATTAAGATTCATTATAAAAATGCTATGTAAAATTAACATTCTTTAATAGCATTTTTTAAAGATTCTTTCGCTTGTTCTAATAAATCTTGATGTTCCTTTGTTTCTCCTTCGTTTTTTTCTTTTTTTAATTTTTCATAGTCTTTTAGTAGTTTTTCATAAGCAGGTATCAATTTCTCAAGTGTTTCTCTTCTTTCTTCGCCTTTTATTCTTTGTTTTTCTAATATTTTAACTTTATTTTCAAGAGATTTAATTTTTCGTTGAGGATTTTAAGTTTTTTTAGTAATTCTTTATTATCTTTATCTGAAACAACAAGACTTTCTTTGAAAGTATTAAGGTTGTTTTTAGTCCTGGCGAGCTCTATTGTAAGGTTGGTATTATTATTTTTGGCGGTTTTAAGTTCTTGTTGGGTATTTTCGAAATTTGATTGAAGATAATTATTTTTTTCTTTCTCAGATATAAGCTCTTGTTACTTTACTGAGAGTTGTTTTTGGAGTTCAATTTTGATTTCAATGGTGGATTTAATCTCTTGTTTTTTAGTATTGAGTTCAGCTTGAAGATTGATATTATTCTCCTGGGCAGTTTTAAGGTTTTTTTTAGTAATCATTAAATTGTTTTTGAGATTTTCATAATCAGCTTCGATTCCTCTATCTCTAATTCCAAGTTGTT